CCAAATACTCGATGCTTCGTTCGACTATTCACCTTCATAACAAAATCGACATTTCAAAATATGGTAAATTAACGAGCTTTTTGAAAAAAAAAATCACAGGGATACAACCCAAAGAAGTCCAAGACATTAGAACAACCTGAAATAGAGAAGTTTTTGAACGAAGCTTCCGATGACGAGTACTTGTTGATGAAAGTGGCTTTGATAGTGGGGATTATCGGTGCTTGAAGATGCGATGAATTGGTCAATTTGAAAATAGAATATTCAAGACAAAGGGAAATATTTTCACGTAGTCTGGCCAGACACTAAAACCAAGAAATCGAGGAGTTTCACCATACTTGATGAAGGATTTCCAGTCAACCCGATCAATTTCTGTAAAAAATACATGTCTTTGAGACCAAAGAATACTAGTTCTACTCGCTTTTTTTTTTACAAAAATGAGAGGTGTACCAGCCAGTGTGTGGGAATAAATACGTTGTCGAAGATACCATCAAGAATTGCAAAGTTTTTGAACTTGGAGGAACCAGCGCTCTACATCGGTCACTGCCTGAGAAGGTCTTCGGCGACTCTTTTGGCCAATGCAGGGGCTAACGTGACTACTTTGAAGCTTCACAGAGGATGGAAGTCTTCGACGGTAGCAGAAGGATACCTAGAAGAATCGGTGCATAACAAAATACAAATTGCAGAAAGAATTACAAGGTTCTAATGTGTCGGCACTGCACTTCCAGCACTATCAGCAGCTGTACCGAACTACCGATATGGGAGCATCCATGGGCGTAGCCAGAGAGGGGCAGGGGTGGGCGCTTGCCCCCCCCTGGTCCAGACAGGGGAAATACAAATTAAAGTTTTCTGCATGATAGGTAATATTTTTCATATAATCGATTCGCGATCGACATTTTTTGTCTTATAATACCTATTTATTTCAAATTGTGTGTGCATTGAAGTTGATTCATCTGGATAGCCAGCCATATCAGCTGCCTATGAATTTAAGTATCGCACTATCTATCAGCCAGAAAACGGGCTCTGTTGATTTCACTTGCTCAACCATGCACAACATGTACAATTGAGAGGTCATTCAGTACATTGAGAAGAGTAAAAACCTGGTTGAGGTCGACTATGACCGAAAGTCGACTCAGTGGACTTTGCATGTCCAGTGTGCATAGAAAGAGAGTTCTGGAAAAAAAGAAGATATTTGAAGAAGAAATATTGAACAGATTCTGTCAAGACACCCGCAGGCTCGTTTTAAAATAATTTAAATTTAGTAGTTATCATTAGTGTGTATTAGTTTTTCCTTTAGATTTATTTCATTATATTTTGAATATACGTTTGAGGTATGAACTGAATTATTTTCATTATTTCAAAAAATGTCCTACTGCCCCCCTGATTGAAATCCTGGCTACGCCCATGGGAGCATCTGGTTTCAATGAACCAACGAATTTTACAATTGCTCCAAATTCGAATAAACCGTTAGCGTTTTTCTTTAATTTCAATATCAATGTGAATCCTGCTTGTAATAGTAATAGCAATAAATGTATAGAATAGGTACTACTTTGAATATAAACGTGAGTTATAATCCATAACTCACTAGAGAGTTATGGATTATAACACACTAGTATGTTATTTGATAGTTACTTGTCTGAAATGACATTAATAATGACAGTCATAACTATCATATATGTTGGATAAATGAATGAACGGGAATACCAAGTTTTCACTTATTAATGAAACCGTTAATGATTGTGAAATTACAGATTAATGAAAAAGCCATCTGCATAAGTCCTTTTCAATTCTGGTGAATTTTCTGAACCCGTTCATCTGGTTTATTTCCATAAAACGGTCCTGCTCGACCGCTGAAGGATTTGCCTAAGGTGACGTGATATAGGACAGTAGTTTCACTGTAAACTCGCCGTTCTGTCTAGATAGATGGACCTGATTATGGTCGAATGTAATTTGAAAAACGAAAGTCACGCAATGTTCGTTGTTCGCTCATCATAATCAAAACGAAATAAATTTCCCATATTTGCTCGCAAAGCTGGGTGATAACAGTCGTCACCTCATAAAACATAAATGACAGTGGTGGTGAAAGATCACCATTATAAAAGCGACGATAAGGTGGTGAGACTGAAGGTGAAAACTGTTTTTCCGAGGTGGATGGGAAAGATCATGAAGAGTTATAGGAGCGCCACTCGATCTAGAGTTTCAACGGAAAGTCGAAAAGCAGATGGGTTTTCCGTTTTTAGAGTACCAGACAATGAATTTGTCGTTACCAAACCGCACTTTAACAATTTCAGGTACAAATTTATATAACAGGATGAAAATTGGAAAAAGAGCAGTACTCAATATTTCTTCAACTGATGACATTATGTAAGCACAATTAAAGCCGATATTCCAGAGACATTCCAAATGGTCCGCGAACAGTTTGAATATATATAGGCTGTTCTTTTGCTCACAATGTTATTGGAGACCATTTTTGGATAATTCATAAAGTAATTAGTTATGTCTGCACTGAAAAAACAGCTCAACTTGAGTCGAGGTATATTTTGTGATCTTGATTTAATTTTCTTATACAAAGAGAAAATATCTTGCATGGGGAAAAATGTCTTTGTTACTCCTGAATGAAATTTCTTTCAATTGGGATAATTTTCTTTTGTCACAGAAACATTGTCTCAATTATTTAGCTTTTGCTACTTGTAACAAGAATCATGAATCTTGGTGGAATATCCAAGAATCTTATGAAAATACACAGCGCCTTCGGAATATTCATCATATCTCCATTTCTGATGATATTTTAGCCGACAATCAATGAAAAAAATTAAAATAATAATTATCACGGAACGACTGAAATTGTGCAGGAAACTTCCTCAACAAGTTCCTATAGTATTTTTCCCGTAGATTCATATGACCTCAGATTTTTTATAATTATTATACAGGGTGAGTTATTCTCTCAAGAATTGAACATAGAAAAAAAATCTGGTCCTGATATTGATTGCGTTGAAGCATTTGAGTTTTGTTCATGTACGAAATTTGAACCCAATCCGGTACCTTATCCTAGAATTTGATATGACAGATTGATTAATTGTCAAAATCCATAAATCACTCTGATGCATGTATGTCAGTAACGAAGCGGTTCTGGACATTTGTATATGGCCAGTTCGCCATTGTACAACCCCATTTTGTTCAGATTTCCTCTCATTGGACTGTGACCAGTGAAAAGTTCTGTTCTGACTTGCTTCATACTCATCTTGAGTAATTCTTCAGTTTTATGTTTCGCCGGTTCCTAAATGTGATATAGTTCTCACATGATTATCCCATGGAAAAGTATTGGTGGTTATATCTAGCTTATAGAAATCAAGGAGTTCGTCTAGGTTATTTCTTCCAATGTCCAATTTTCTGGATGAAAGAGAAATCCAGGAAGAGCACTGTACTATCATCTAAAAAGCTGCACTGAGGAAAATTTCTATTAACCATAGTCAGAAATCGAATTAACCCAACAAGAAACTATAATAGCGTAGGGGACAAGCGAGTTATCACCTGTTATTATAAAGTCGACTTTGCTGATTATAACCCACCTGCGATTATCAGATATAGAACCTTGCTGTCACTAGCGAGTGCATCTGTATGATGCTATTAGACGATGTTTCTGTAGTAGGTATCTGACTTTGCTACCGCTAGTGAGTGCATCTAATAATGGGAGCAGGGCAATGTTATAATCGTAGGTAGGGAACTTTGCTACTCTTAATGGGTGATCATATAGAAAGTTGCATGACCTTCTTACTGTATAGTTATTCAGTTATTTTCCAGGATTGTTGTCATCAAGAAAGGTGAAATTTTGACTGATATCCACTCTCACTTCCCATAATTTCCACGCTGATGTTTGGTATGAATAGCAATTTATTGATTCCTAAAGAAAATTTCGGACCAATGATCTTTGAAATTCGATAGATCAATTGATTCATGCACCCTCAGGAAAAACCAAAGGGTTTTTGAGTGATTGATGAAAAAAAGAATTTTTCTGAAACCTTCTGAAACCATTGTATTTCGAAAACTAGGCAAGTTATTACAGATGCGTACAGGAAAACAAAATGTTACCAGTAAAATCATTCAAATAATTTCATCACCTGGACATTTTTGCTCACAATAAGTTTTTAGACCAGATTCTAGGGGACAAATCAGCGAAATATCGAATAACGATGAGTAGGTGCTAAATAACCCCAAGTTGGTTCGTCAAATATTATTTTCGTGGCAGACTGACAGTTGTATCATTGGAAGTGAGTGCAGTTCTATGCGATGAACCTCGCAGCCACAAGCATATAACTCACTAGTAGTAGTTCAGCTAGACAATTATAAAAAAAAATCATGCTGTCCCAGAGTGGCTGCCTGATAGCTACAGAAGTATACTATCCTGTGGCAGGAAATTCACTTTCAGCAAAGTCGTTATTGCTATCATAGGATTTGAAGGTGTTGCTTCTATTGGAAAATATATAACGGTGATATGATTTCTTGTAATGGTAGCAAGAAATATCTCAGCAAAAACTCTAATAGCACAATTTTCCTCAGTGTGTGCATAGGTCAACATACTGTTGATGTGAAGCAGGAAAACTGATGGTAACAAAATGGATCCCTGTGGAATACAAATTATGATCGAACTTCTTCTGACGGTTATCTATGTGGGATTGTACTTTTATCTTTTATTTATTGGATGACTTTAATTGTTTGACGTGGATTGATGCTTTCAGTGAAAATAACTTCGTGAAAAAATACGACAAATCCGGTGGGCATCACAAGAATTTCAGCGGACAAGTTTTGCACGAAATTGAAAATTACTGTGAGAAAACCACCCTGCATGGTCTTCGATATGTCGGGGATGCATCACTCACCCTATGTGAAAGGTAATTATGAATTATTAACCTTTCAATTAATTATTAAGTCCCTTTGCGACCATATGGAGATCTCTGAATTTTAGGATATTCTGGCTGTTGTCTTTCGTCACCGCCATAGCATTCGCCTCTTATTATATTTCAAATATATATGCCAAATGGAATTCTTCTCCTGTCATCATAAGTTTCAGTCCATTTGATGCTGACCTCAGCAGCATCCCGTTTCCTGCTGTAACAATCTGCAACATGAACCAGGTCAAGAAGACTGAAGCTCTCAAAATAAAAGCAGATGGGTTTGTACTCATTCAAAATGTTTTTTTAATCGTTTGTTGGCTCTGAATATGGATTTTCCAGTGATATCAGGAATCGTTTTTTAGGAATCCAATGGAACTGAAGCTCTTGAATGACCTATGTAACGGTAATGAAGTCGATACATTGAGTACACCATATAATTGGACTACCCTTCGAAATTTTCTAATACGAGTAAGGATTCATAAATATCAATCGGGTTACTCTCTCAGAGATTCTATTTTCTCATGTTGTATGATTTATGTTGCCGTTATGAAGCAGACATTTTAACGCTCATATGCTTAAGCTTTTTCCACTTTGTTATGGTGCAAATTTCATATAAGTAGGCTCCCATATAGCACTCGACGTTCTCGGGACGTCCAGTTTAGGTCCGATATAGGTCTGAACGTCCGGGACCTTTTCAAGACGTACTGAAAACGTCTATTTCTAGACGTACTGGGTACGTACGATTCCGATGTATTGAGTACGTCCAACTCTGGATGTTATCGACTTTTTGTGGACGGGATTGAATAATTTGTATGATGATAATTCAAATCATTGCATATAATCTCTACCCTGGATCTCTGATATCTATTCATGTAGGAACCTTGCAAGCAAACGAATATAAATATAATACAATTTTCACAATTCATTTTTCACTGGCCGTACCTAATCACAAAACATCTATCTAGGTATTCTCTGCCCGGATCATATAATTCTATGAAAGTATCAAGCAGTTTTTAAAATTCTTTATTCAGAATGAGATCTTTTTTGCTCTGTCTAGATCTTTTTTTCAACTATCTGAGTAGAAAAGCCGAATTTACGTTGATTCATGGTCCTGAATTGACGTACTGGGGATATAAAAATGCGCGGAATCTGGACATCCCCAGTACGTACCTAGTACGTCTGCGGTCTTTATAATGTACGAATAAGTAAATGTATCAACATTGAGAACACTCTGTGTCATGTTGAACATATCGGAAAATTATGTGCGTAGGACTGTACCCAGACCACAGGATAGAAGTGATATAACTTCTATGACCAATTTCTTATGAACATTACGGGAGAAATCTGTATGAAGTAATATCAGTTGTATGAACTATTTATAAGTATCAGCGAAATGGATGAAGTAGAACTGAAAGACAATTAACTAAAAACTATACCGACCGACACTGACACTCTGAGCTGAGGAACGGGGAATCAGACAAAACCCGAAGACGTGACGGTAACGTGATACGTAGCATGTAGCCAACATCCTAAATAAAAATAAAAAACTTCTGGGAATTGTGAATTGTTGATGGTTCGATAATCTGATGCTCGCTACATAATTTCTACAACTGCTTGTGTGGATTGTGGTCATTTTTAAAATTTTGCTTTTGGTTCAATAAGAAAAACAGTCTAAAACATTCCTAAAACAAAAAAGAGCAGATCTACTAGCAACGCTGCTGAAGGAACAGGTGCAGCCGACACAGACATATAGGTATACAAAGTTACGAGCGTGACGCGAGTCCGGCCGTTTTACTGCCATCCCAAAAAGTGTCTGACGGGCCAATAGAAGTTATCACTTCACAAAAGGGAAAAAAATTACCCTGTGCTTGGAGTTGCTGTTTTGAATAGAGCTATGATGAAAACGCTAGAAGAATCGAAATATTCGTATTCCCGGTCTTGAAACCAGCCCGTACCCTCCACTTCTTCCAAAGCACGTGACTCAACAAGTCAATCAGAGGCCAGCACTGTTCCGTGACGTTTCCGTGACGATTCCGTGACGATTCCGTGGCGATTTTGATACTTTGACGTTTTTGTGACAATTCCGTGACGTTTCCATGACGTTACCGTGACGATTTTAGCGTCATTAGCCCCGTCAATTAGCCCCGCCACTCAGCCCCGTATAGACAAGGAAAATGTCACGAAAAGGTCACGGAAACGTCAACGAAAACGTCACGAAAATGTCACGGAAACGTCGAAGCATCAAAAACCCAAGGAATCTCTACGGAAAAGTCACAAAAAAATGCTGACTTGTGATTGGCTCGCCGAGTCACGTGATTTGAAGAAACGTGAAGGGGAGGAGCTGGTTTGAAGAGCAGGAATACCTACTTTGGTTTCGAGTTACCTATCACGTGGTTCTAGGTTGGAACTTCTTGTACTGACATGATGAAAGTGTGCGAATGGTCCAGCGATCCAAAAGACTGCGATGAGCTGTTTAATAACGATTTGACCGATGAAGGTTTATGCTGCTCTTTCAATCGACTTCCGCCGAACTATATCTTCAGGAATCCGTAAGATACTTTTCATGCGACTCGACAGTTTCAGATGAACAGTTATTGGTACGGATTTTTTCTTATTTTAGGAATTCCATTTCTTTGCTGAACCAAACTTATCCCAGCAACGCTTATGATTGGAATCCGGAGAAAGGTTTTCTGTATGATGACAATGGAGATGAAAACAACGTTCCCAAAAGACCTTTGGGCAAGTTTGTTAACATTTTCCCACTCTTATCTACTGCTTCAATCAATGCTGGTCTGCATTTCCAGGTTCTGGATCTCATTTGGGCTTGACGGTTGTACTAGATGCTCAAATTGACGAATATTACTGTTCTTCTACGAGTAGTATTGGATTTAAGGTAACTTTGGTAGGAACTCCTAGTCGATATTGATATATACCCTCAGAGAAAAGATACCGGCTAGATAAAATTTGGCCCTGTAACTTTTTCAATTATTCTCCTATTTTGGTGAAATTTCGACCAAATCGTATATTCATGTTTCGGAAGGCTAGCATGACTTAATTCCCAAAGAAAGCTGATGGCTTGATATTTATACAGGAAACAACAAGAGTTACTGTTCCACCCTTAACTTCTTAAAACCCTGTGGTGAAATTGAGTGGTTGAACCAGGTTGAACTCAGCTTAATCATGTTTTTGATACATGGATCCACGTCAATATATTCTGTTCAAGACGAAAGTATGGGTTCATTTTTTCATTCAAACAACAATGATCATTCATAAGGTCCGATCGTTCGTGTAGATGAACTTGCTAAATTGATTTTGTTCCCATAGTTGTCTCTGTTCACGGAATAATATAAACAGGGATAGTCATAAAAAAATCAAGTTTAGCAAGTTGAGAAATACAAACGGACATGTCATATATTTGGGAGATCTGTTTCAGATGTTTTTTGTAATTAAGGGATTTTTTGGCGGTGAGTGCTGGAAAAACGGGGTGGAAACAAGAGATATTCAAGTTTTAGAAGCTTTTCATGCGGTGAAACGATAAGTTCGTGTATTGGTTGTGAAATATTGTTGATAATAGTTTTAAGAATCCATCATACTTTCTCAAAATACTTATATCTTATCTCAAACAGAAGATGTCGACGTGAATTGTAAACCATTGCGTTGAGAAGGGATCTCACTCCAAACCAGAGCACAATGAAGCTGGGCCTGACCCAGGTGAAAGATTAACTAATGCTTTTCCCTGTATGCGTATCAGGTTTGCTTGGAAACTAGAATTCAGGCTAACGTTCCGAAACATGAATTCACGATTTTGTTGAAACTCTACCAAAATCGGACAAGAATTAAAAACTTACAGGGCGATCAATTTGGATCAGTTTTTTGTGGCTGGCTTTTTTTGTCAATGAGTGTAACTTCAGATCAGAAGCTGTTAATCTTGAAACGGTTCAAATGAAATCGGAAAAAGAAAGATCTTCGTTCAAACAGTGCTCTTCAACTTCTAGATTATCCTTTCCAATCCTATTGAGACGCCAAAAATGGCCGACTTTGGGTCACTGTTGAGTCCAGGTGTCGAAGTGAGATACTCTATTACTCCGTCAGTACGAGAAGCTTCTGATAATCTGAGAAGCATCAGTGTGGAGAAGAGACAATGCTATTTTGCCAACGAGAGAACGTTACAATATTACAGGTGAGACATCACTACATTATCTTGGTGCGAATGAAGTTTTGAAATATACAGGGTGTCCGCTAAAAGGAGGTCAATCCATTAACCACATATTCCTTGAACAAAAACAATATGAGTTTCTAAATACCTTTTTTAATTTTAGTTCTTCATATTCAATATACATTAATTACGCGAGTAATTACTACTAAAATGTTCTTATTGAATATCATTCATGAGAATTTATATTTTCTATTTGAAATTTGAACAAAATCATGAATACGCCGAAAACGTGTGACACTCTTGACAATCGAATCACATCAACTGATCAAATCAAGATCATGATCTAGATGTTTCTGCACGGATTATTTGTTGCGCCCTGTCTCTTTTGCGTCCTGTATTTAGGTGCCTCTGTTCAGCTATTACTGAATCAACGGGACTCTTCGGGTCCCGAAAGAAGAAAAACACATCCTTGAAAGTCTAGTTCAACATCATAATAAGCAGTTTGAAAGTTTCCGAGAAATTGTCCATCTTTCACGCCATCTATCATCGAATATGAGAAATCCACGTTTCGAACTCGTATTCAATTGTTCATATCGAGAGTTTTAGTCTGACGAAACAATTGAGGAGTGGGCACACCAGAGGAATTATAAACATCTCAATTCCGAACATATCAAGCAAGAAGGTCCTGTAGATATTAGTACCTTTCACCACAATTTGTAGGATGAAGATATTTTCATCAAAAATAATTATTGATATTTTATGAATGTACGATGGAATAACAAGCGAATAACAAATTTCAAGTTGATATGGTTTTTTGGGTCACAATGTTTAGAAATGGAATATTTGATTTCGTTGTTTTAGAAACTGAGATGGTTGGTTTGTTCCGTTTGTTTTCTGGTTTGTCGAGGTGGTTCATTTTCAAATCAATGTCGAAGGACAGTACATAAGAATTCTTTGAAACGTGCATTTTCAGGACTTACAGCAAAAGTAACTGTCAACTGGAGTGTTTGAGCTTATTTCTTCATGAAAAGTGTAAATGCGTACCATACTATCTACCAAGTAAGTACATTTGAGGTGATTTTTTTATTGAGTGCGTGCGATAACTCGAATTATTGCACTGTTTGTCACAGTAGGCTTATTGTGTTTTTTTCCAGAAAATGGGAGCATGAGGTTCTGTCAGCAAATCGATGAAAGGTGTATTAATAGAGTGAAGTGCAAGTATATTATTATTATTTTCTGCATGATAAATAAATAGTTATTTAGGTACCAAGGACAAAAAACCGTCTATATATACATAGCCAATCCTATAACTGCTAAATGAAACATTTTAGCCACGTAATGTCATCTGATGAAAGTGGAAAGTCAACGTTTTCAACGTGAAACAGGTCACCTTTTCGAATTTTTTAGTTTCAAAAAGGTTACCTCATAGATTTTAAATGAAACAAGATTGTAGTTAAAAGATGGAATTTACAAGATAATCATTTAAATTCTAAAACATGTCATTTCACAGTTATAAGAGTATCATTTAAGTTACATCCCTTCTTCATTTACCATCTTTGTCATACTCGTTTACCACAATGAGTCATCTCACTCACTTACTGACGCCACCACGTAAATTTTTGGCAACTATGTTAACTAATTATCCAAGGTTGTGACAAGAAGAGCATATACTCCAAATTGGGAGCAATTTTATCGTAGGCATATTGAAATATTGTGTACTGAGTATCTCGCCCTTGAGATGCATTTCAATGCCCTGCCGTTTCAATAAAAAACTCTACGTGGGCGGCGTAAGCATATATATAAGTAGATAAAGTCTTCAATATTTCTTGACAATCTTCAACCCACTTAATTTTTCTGGAAAAAAAAATTAATTATCCCAATACTGAAATGCCAATCTTTTGACTATTAAAGTGGAACTGAATTATATCGATATAAGTACTATTTAATTTTTATAATATCACTATTTAATATTGAAATGCTAATCATTTGACCCCCATTTAAGTGTTGTTTCACTGTTATATAATTTTTTGAAATGATGGACTTGATTACAGTGAAAAGGAAACTAAGCTGGGGCAAATTCAATTCAGGAATCTTTTGAAGATAATACAGTTTCGTATAACAGCTAATAGATATTTCTCTCGGTGTATAAAAGACAGTTTTTTGCCGAGGTGCATTCCAAATTTTTTCGTCGACCTCATACACTCATACAGGGTGTATCTAATTAACACCGAAAAAAATCAAGGGGTGTTTCCTTGTGACATTCTAGCAAATAAAGTTCATATAAATATGTGTCCTAACTTGCTTCATTTTTGAGATACAGGATGTTGAAGTTTTAATTGTTTTTATTTATAGCCCCCCTGTATAAGCTTTCCTGGTGCCAAAATTCAGTATGGATGGAGACTAAGAAAGCTCCAGAATTTCGAAATGAATCTCAATGGAAGTCTTGAAAACACCTACATTAAAATTTGGAGTCTAATCGAATTCGTATTGTTTCTTCAAAAGCTAAGCTAGATACAAAAATGACACAGTGGATTGAAAAGTTGTTATTTCAATAGTTCAATCTAATTCAAATCTGAAACTCAGAAAAACCCTCTATACTATAGGTGGTGGAAAAATTCCACTCCAGTATGTCAGGTAGTGCCATCTGTCAGCAGAGTGATTTACTTGTAGTACCACTCTGTAGCGTATAGACGTAGGGGTCTGTACGTGTGACTATAGATGGCAACGCCATACAGTGTGTGTCGCGATATTTGTATCCTATCTTAGAGCTTTGCCACAAGATGGCTACAACATGACTACAACTTCATGTTATACCCTTCGTCTTCGAAATGGGTGATATACCCGAAGCGTAGAGTTGTCCTAGTTGTCAGCAGACCGAGAGCGACTGATGAGACCTGGTGGGTCGAAACAGTACTGTCTCGCTCCTGCCCTCCTGCTGACAATTGGGGCAACTCTGTTCATCCTAGATCTCTTAGTTGTGAGATTTAGCACATGGTAATGATCATCTGCATAATATATCAAAACCATATCTACCAAGTTTTCCATAGTTACAATGACAACAACGATGTGATACTTCCCTTAGGCTTAGGTACATACGTATTACGTACGTCCCGGAGTAAACCGGGAACTGCTACTTTCTCAAAGAAAAAAGAAATTTTTCGTAGAGGTCGACGAAAAATAATATTTTCTGCATGACAGTTATACACCCTCCAAAAATTCTAGTTCAGATAGTTTCAATGGCCTACGACGGTATTTTGATGTTGTTCATCTTTCTATCTTCAGTAAGTCAAATTGTGAAGAAACACTAATTTTTGGATTCTACTTCCAGATGAAATTAACCGTAATAGAGATGACAAGTAAGAAAGTTCGAACATACTTTTCAATAGGTACATGAGATTATTTTTCAGGATTTTTTGTGGTTGTTATAGTGAGTGTTCTGCAGTAAAATATTCACTAAAAGCATGCGATGCCAAAATTGCTGATAGTGACGTTAGGCAATT